GGTGTGGTGTGGTGTGGTGTGGTGTGGTGTGGTGTGGTGTGGTGTGGTGTGGTGTGGTGTAGTGTCGTGTCGTGTTGGTTTCTTCTTTATAACATGCAGTGTTTGAGCAGGCGCTCACAAAACTCACCTCTTGCGCAAAGAGAAATCGAAGTCATACATGACGATGAGTAGCTTCCAAGCTCTAAAGAACCGGAAGTAGGGATGGTAATTCCATGGCGGGTCTCTATAAGAGGTATTTTAGAAGTGCCACTTGAAGCCGTTATTTTTGGGCCACAATGTTTTATATCCTCAATTCTTTGTGGAGAAAATAACGGCCAGGAGTGATTTGAAAGTTGGTAAACTGTACCTATTTTTTAAGAAAATTAAAGAAGTTAAAACGTTAAGTCAGTATTATCACAGTGTTACTACACAATCAAGAGAAGTCTATATATGGAAGCTTTGTACCACGTGACTCACAGGCGTAGCAACGGTAACTATGCTGTAATTAAATGGGAATATGCATGTAGAATCGGGTAATACCTCCAATTTAATCCAATGGCGTATAACTAAATAAATACTAAAATTCGTGTTTTTCGTTATTTTATCAGTAAAAACGGAAACGATCCTTGTACTCTCAATGACTTAGCATTCAACAGCCTCCGTATGTTTAATTTATCTTTTTTTTTTTGAAGTTTTCGGTTGTTTCCCCGGATAGTTATCAATCCAGCTAAAGCTACTTTGTTTTTACTTTTTTAAATTATCGTAAGAGTTTATTCAGTTATTCCCTCACATTTCCACTTTAAAATATCTCCTTGTAAAAAAATTAAGGCTCCTTGAATTCCTAGTTTAATTTTCTGATCAGGAATTTTATAACATCATTCAACACAGAAATTTCAAAGTTCAGTTGGGTTGAAGCGTTTAACTGGTCTTCGTCTTGTACTTGAATATGCTTTTTTCAGCTAAGATTATTTTTAAAATCATACTCATTTGAATTTTCCTAGAAATTTATCATTTATCAATCATCAATTATCAAAGCTATCTCTTTTAGCCTCCGGCAGCCATATTCTTTAAAATTATTGATGTTACCAGCTTTTCTGCTAGCTACTTTCGTCCGCCATTTTGTGACAGGTGTAATACGTGGACCGAAGTCTCGCCAACTTCATGCCGAGATTGGAGGTCGTATTTTTCATAACAACTCCAGGGGATCATATCAGGTTAAATAAACATGACGTCAATGAATTCTCGCTAAACTATATAACGTTGCTAAAATTGTGCATACTATGCCAAATACATCTAGTTGCTACGCATTTATAGACTACTAGAACAAGCCAAACCTCGGTGTATGAACCTGTGAATGACATAACATTAGCCCAAAACAAAGCTCGTGTTCAAACTAAACAAAGCACATCAATAGAACGGAACAAAGGAGCTTGTTGCGCCGAGGTAAACAATTAAAACAATACTAAATTGTCACCGCAATAATTCCTCAAAAACCAATTCTGAAATACATAAATATAAAAATTACTACCCCACATTTGAAGTACGAATAAATTGGATACACATTTTACAGTGACGTGTAGGAGTTCGAGAAAAAGATATGAAATTCTTAAGATCAAGCTATAGGAATTTGAATAGACAGAAAAACACAAAAATGAGACAATTTACATAAGAACTCGGGGGAAAATTACGCACAAATCTCTACAGTTTAAATACATCATATCTTTTGTAAAACTCAATGGCGGCCATTTTTGAAAGAGTGCTCTATAGCCTCTGTAACTCACAGCGTGCGTTGGCACTCTGACATAAGAAAATTAGTGTTACTGATTAAATTAAACAAACAAATGCTTGAGATACCACCGAATGACGCAGGCCTCAGTTGCCCTTATTTACTTGAATGCGAGCACGAACAATCTAGAAGAAGTTTTCGTACATTGCGCATGCGCACTGCATGAATTTGATACTATTACCAGGTAAAGAGAAGGACCCAGAAATGAAGTTGTACTGCATGCTACTGACCAATTTCGAGCCAAGAGTCGTCCGGCTTTTTGGTCAGCGGAAAGCGGAAGGCGATGGAGGACTCTGGGTGGATAAGAGATTGGCTACCGACTTTCAGGGTTGAAAGTGCTTACGATAGGAACGATAATATATATTGCTAAAAACTTACACTAAAAGAAAAAAATAATCATTAATATATTTTATAAATGCAAAGGACGACTCCTCAACCTTAAAATTTTTTGATAGAAATCCGAGCTTTTGGACTAATTAATCCTCATTCCCTGTGGGTAGACTCATTAGTCCGAAAGCTTTTGATCTCTATCAAAAAATTTAAAGTGCTTATAAGCCTTTACGCAATATTTTCAGAATTGATTCTTTAAATAGTGAATAGTTGATTGTGAAAATAATTCGTCATTTGAATGTCGGGTCTTTAAGATACGAAGATTTATACTTCCAATATGTTAATGACTATGACGTAACATAAGGGATTTGAGTTATTTTGTGGCAACTTTTAATATTGAACGCTGGACATTTTTTGAAAACAAATTTGTAAGAACCTTTACGTGAGTCACGAGTAAAAGGGTGATGCTTTTAAAATACTGTAATCCAAAACGAGTGCAGTGTTGTATATTAAATGATCCCTTATGTTACGTCATAGTCATTAACATATTGGGAATAAAAACCTTCGTATCTTAAAGACCCGACATTCAAATGACGAAATATTTTCACAATCAACTATYCACTATCTAAAGAATCAATTCTGAAAATATTGTGYAAAGGCTTATAAGCACTTTAAGGTCGAGGAAAGTTCTTGTATTCATAAAACAAATGATCCCAACCGACAAGTACGTTAATCATTGCTTCTATAAAAAGAAAAAAATATTTATATTGCTAAAAGACAAAAAAATATCAATCATGGTGCAACGTAAGAGTCAAGAAAATATCATTTGAAAGCGCAAATATTGATCAATATTCTGTTGCATTGATAAAAATTAACAAACATGCAGTTTGGGTAACGTATAGATATTATTATGACCGAAAAAGTATAAATTTATATTTAAGATGGGACTAAAAAAGCGCGTTGCAACCAGGAAAATATATTGTATCAGGTGTTTGTAGAGAAGAACCATTTGAGATACTAATCGGTAAACTCATAATAATCAATATTGATTATTCATCAATCGCAARACACCTGAACATTAATTTTTGGGTAACGTATATATATATTATTATGACGGAAAATTAAGATTGTAAATTTATATTTAAAACTGAGAATGAAAAAGCGCTTTTAACAGCGATATTATAATGTAGGTATTTATTAAGAATCTTTTTAGGTACTGACTCGGTAAACGTTTTCGGATATCAATTTGCAAAACACCTCTTTTTTTAACTTCGTCGGCAAAGTCTTAATCCCTCTTAATTATCTATAGCATTTCTTCCAATTGTTTCAGGCATTTTACATCCCACATTCTCATTGTTTCTTTAGCACTTTTTGGTCCCCTTGTTTTAAACAAAATCAAAAACAGCAAGAAGTCAGTGTTTCGCTTTGGATTCCTGCTGGGTTGAATTAAGATGGACCACAATAAGAGCTATTCGTTGGTTGGCAGCGCATTGTCATAATATTTTCAAATAATTCCCTTTAGTATTCGTTAGTGTTCCTAAGCAAAAAACGGAATAGCTAAAGCTAACTTGTGTAACTCCAGTACACTACGTTCCCTACTAAGAGTCACCTTGACTATGATTTTCACTGAATTTGGCTCTTTGACTATTAAAGTTAGGAAACAAAAAAATACAATTCTGGAATTCATCTCGTGAGCTAATACTAGCAGAATTTCTATCGATAATGCAATAAAATTTTATAACATAAATAGGTTTATCATTACTGCGCAGAAATATCTCTGAATTTCAATTTTTTCCTCTTTGTTTCTTTTATGACAGTACGTTCTGTCTGAAATAATTTTGATATTAACACATAAAGGATAAACAATACAAACACTTCAAAGTGTGGAAGAAGAAGAACAAGAAGATAAAATAGAATTCGAACACTTTTACAAAACAAAACGGGGGGAAAACAGCTTATAACAAATATTTAAACTAATTACGAGTCAAAAAAAAACTCGTAAAACAAATCCTGAAAAAGATAGTTCCTTCGTCTTCGTATAAACTAATCAATAAAGAAATGATATTCGATCTTTCTTACCGTTTAAAGTGTTGCTTGCTTGCTGACATCTTTCGTCCAGCTTTACAAGCAAGGGGCAGGCTAAGAAGAGTAGAAAGTTTAGAAGGTCCAACTTCATCCTGATAGAGAGGTATCAAAATTACTTGTCATAGTTTGATCTAACACTAACTGTTTTCAAAAAATGTATATTCTAGTAAGAAAAGAAGTCGTAATATAATTCGTTATATCAGTGTTCATACTGAGTTTGTTGAGCAGCATTAAAGTTTAAAGTAGTTTCTTGACAAAAGAAACCTATAGTCTTGTAGGAGCCAATGATAACAGCTGACTCGTTAGACCGCTGGCTCATCCGTTCAGTTCGAACAAAGTGCCTGACCGATTCAGTAGTAAAATGAATCATCATATGTACCTAGTAGTTGTATTTTATTTTTTTAACATATATTAATTCTCATATTTACCCCAAGAGCAGAAACTCAAAAGTGGAAGCTTGAGAGAGTCTGTGATTCATGTTTACGAAAATAGTCTAGCTCATTATGAAATCACAGCTTGTTTTTGAAGGGCCCGGGGTAGCCTCCTTTGCAGCCGTTCTTAGGGTCGTCGTTGCGTGACGACCCTAATAACGGCTGCAAAGGAGGCTAGGCCCGGGGCAGAAATGTTAAGAATTTGGAATATTCAATTTACTCGGGCACCTGAAGCTCTCATATGTTTGGTTTTCGAACATTTTATAAACCGGTGTATATCAAAAAATATTCGGTATTTTAAAGTATTTTTGAAATAACATTTAATAAATATTTTATGATAATATTTTAAAATTAAAATTTGGATTGGTGGATACCATTGCTTTTCTAAGGTCTAAAAATATTTTTTCGCAAGTTTATCTTTATGTTGTTGCTATTTTCTAGTGTTTTTTCTTCTCCAACCACCTGACCATGATTCTTCGCGCTAAAACAAATGTTTTTTTTATGTAACTACACCACTCATTTGTACGATAGTTTATTTGTGATCGGCCGCCGCTCTTGCGGCAGTAAGAAACGAGTAAGCCGAAACAACAAAGCTCATTTGCATACTTTTTCTCATAAGATGCTAGGCTCTGATAAGTGATAGAGAGATTTTATTTAACCCGTGAAAAAATAGTAGAATTATGAAGAGAGGTATGAAGACCGCATTCAAAGGAGGATTAGTGGGGGGAGGGTGGGGAGAAAATGAACACGGCGTCAGAAGGATAACCTAAAGTGGACCAGCCTACCTGTAGGAACGCTACGCGAGTTACTAGACATGGGCAGAAGCAACTCAAGGGCGTATCGCTCTGCAAGGGACTGATGTTATGAGAGAGAAAATGAATGTTTTTACAGACTAAGCTAGACATCAGTTTTCTAATCACTATTTCTTATCTTATGAAAACGAGATAAAGAACGATCAATTAGCTTTATAAAAATATCGATATAAGATTTCAGCAAGGCTACCATCACGCACAAGTTTAGATAATGGTATGCATTGAATTCACAAGTAAACCTCTTAGCTCCTCCCATTAGCATGTGCACCTCTGGTTACGCCCTACACACTTTCTACCCCTTTGCTCAGTTATTTTAGGATTATTCTCTAGATAGAAATATTCCTCGTAGCCTTTTCTATACATTTATGATATATTCATTTATAATATAATTATCCATTAAATACCTATATTTCTCCTTTTCGAAAAAATGATATTTTCACATGTGAAAATATCGTTACCATGCTAATGGTTTATAAATAAAAACTTTGTATAATAATAAAAGGTTTATTAAGTTGATTTTATGAATAATTATATAATAAACAGAATATTACATGGGCGCGAGATACGAAATTTATCTTCTTGTGTTGAAAATCTCTCCAACACTCGAAGATAAAGTTCGTATCTCCGCGCGCCCATGTAATATCCTCTATATATTAACTTAGTGTGTGTGTTTAATTCCAAGATTTTCACTCGTGTTACTCATCTCTAGAATATCGTCTTCAGGAATTTACTTATTTTTTTAGCCAATCATGATTCAACGATATATTATCACATTGATTAGAGACTGACACCTGTCATAGAACTATTATAAATAGAGCTCATATGTAATTAGCTTAACACACAGAGAGTAGAATAAAGATCCCGGATCTCGTGCCGAGAGCGGTCGTCTCATAACACTGGCGCGAAAAGTTAGTAGTAGACTCTCAGTAAACCCATTGTTTTTTGTTTTTTTTATCAACTAGTCTAACCACATAAACATTTTTCTTTAACTGGTTAAACAAAATCACTCTACGAAGTCATTAATTATGACGCGATAACTCTTGAAGAAATAGAAAACACGCGCGCTTGCTGTGTGCAGTTATAATGAAGCACGCGGGGGGTTGGCAGAACACGAGAAGTGTTAGGAGAAGCACAACGCGTAGCGGAGTGCTTCTCGACACTTCTTGAGTGTTCTGTCAATCCCCAAGTTCTTTATAACTCCTTACAGTACAGGAAGCAAGTTTTTTATTTCTTTTATAAAAGAACAACTGACAAAAACCGTTATTTTGGATAGGAATGACGCAACTGAAAGTGCGGGCGCACTTCAACAGCAACAGCAGTAGCAACAGCAGCAGCAGGAGTAGTGAGTAGTGAGTAGTGAGTAGTGAGTAGTGAGTAGTAAGTAGTGAGTAGATAGTAGTAGTGGTGGTGGTGGTGGTAATGGTAGTGGTGCTGGTGTTAGTAGTAGAAGTATACTAGTAGTGGTATACTACTAGTTGTAGTATGGTAGTAGTAGTATGGTAGTGTTCGTGGTATAGGTGTTTTTTGTTCTCAAGCCTGTCAGCGGCATTTCCTGCATCCTGTATAGTATTCATGTATTTGATTAGATGGTGAGCAAATTCTCGCGCAATGTGTTTTGTGTTGCGTGATTTTCAGTTTTACGACCGCAACTTTAATCATAATTGCTACATACCTTTTTATCATTATAGCTAATAATTGCTCTACCCTTCCCCCCTGAGTATCGTCCCGGCTAGTTATTCTTGGTTGGGTTCCCTGCGTAAAACTAAGGCCCATTCTCCCAAGTTCATTGCTCGACAAAATGGCGGCCAGGGCTTCGTTTAGAGGGTCTTTACGTATCATTCAAGGTAATCATGCATTCCTCACTATCTTGATGGATTATTTCCTAATTAATCACCATTTTTGTAATGCTTAATGTTCTAGATATCTGTATTAGCCGATATTCAAACCGTGAAGCAAGTACCGCCTCTCAAATCAAGATTCAAAAGCCTCTCGGGTTTATGGCTGCACGTTGCAAAGCTGGTCGAAACAAAGTCAGAGAAATCAAGGTAATTTTTGTAAACTTCTTGAAACTCATATAAGTATTCTGTTTTGTTGTTGAAATGTTCTTTTGTAAAATAAGCAAGAATTGCGTTCAGGATTTAAAAAAAAAATTTGAATCCCGTTTATAAGCTTAAAATCTACTATGATTTTGTCAATTTTTCTGATTTATGAATTTAACTTTCTTTAAAAATATTCTTTCTTTAGCCTAATCCAAAGAAGATGATGATTGCTTCTAAAGTGAAAGATGTCTTTGACAATAATGAAATGGTGGCTGTCTTTCAGTATAATGACATGAACACCACTGAATGGGAGAACCTTAGACATAACTTGAGCAGAAGTGACATCAAGGTTAAAGTATTCCCCAACAAAGTAACCCACAAGGCCTTAGAGAATTCCATTTACCAAGAGATTTCACCGCTGTTCCTATGTACAACTTGCATTATGTATTCCAAGGAACCAATTGTGAAACCTCTGATAGATGCTGTCAAGAAACAGCCAAAGCTAGAGCTCCTTGGTGCAAAGGTCCAAAACAGGTTACTCTCTAGAACTGGTGTCAGAGAGTGTGCCAAACTGCCACCTTTGAAAGAATTGCATGTTAATCTTGTCCAGCTTTTACAAAAACCTGCTTCTCAGCTGAACTACCTTCTACAGCAGAATCAAAGACTGTTAACACAAAATCTTTTTCAGTATGTAGAACAAGAGAAGGAAGAATGTTGATACATGTAAAAGGATATTGTATTGGAATACTTTATAAGTTTTTACAAAGGAAACTAATCCAAATGGTAATTTGAAGGACTATGCTACTTTTACATGTATTGATCTTCTATTTGGCTGATGGTCAAGTGTTGAAAAAATTCAGATTTTAATAAAGTAAAATTTTCAAAGAAACGTTCATGACTTTGTGAGCAGGAGCTAAACAGCTATACATTCTTTGCAAATATTGATTTCAAAACTTTGACTGTTCTCTAATGTTAATTCAAACAGTCTCCTTTGAAGAAATGCATTACATGACCTTGTCTTGTAAGCATTAAAATGTTTCCTGGTTGTGGCTCTTACAAAAGTTAGGCTAATATACCAGTTTCAAGATCCAAATAACTACTGTTTCTCGATTACAGTCATTTACACAGGGTCAGCCTTGATTTTGTGCAGAATATTCACGTGTTCCAATCGAGGTCCATGGAGTCTGGAAGTTTTTACGCTGTTGAAGTTGTGCATTCTTTAATTTACTTTACTATTGGTATTTGTGAATATTTCAACACTGATACCAGGCTAACCCTGCGTAAATGATTCTGTAATCAAGAAATACAGCAGTAATTTAGGATTTGAAACTGGTCTATTTGGTAAAACATACAACAGGACTTGAAATCTCCCCATCCACTCCCCTACCCCAGGTTGGTACTCATAACTTTTAGGTGTTAAAGTTAGTGACATGGTATCTTTTAGGACATTGAAATTTAGAACCATTACTTTGGTATCTTTTAGGGAGCAGAATGAGGAAATCTATGTATAATATTTAACCACTCTAATAATAGGTAGTACTCAGACCAGACAAGCATGTGTCGGCCATTTGACATCAATAGATAACACTGTAAGTGCAGCATGCAGAAATTTAAGTTATACATTCAATACCTTTGCTTAGTATTTTATTCTGGTCATGCTTATCATTTTTTTTTGCTTCGGTTGGCTAGTTTTTTTGTCTTTATTCAAATTTTCTAGTGCTTTAGAGTTGAGTTTTTTCATTGTCACGGCTTACTGTCATGCAGACTGAACCTAGATTGTGCCTCAGTTTTCGTTCCCTGAGAATATCCTTGTATTCTTTGCTTGTTTCAAACATTTTTGTGTAAGATACCATTTAGTTCAGCAGTTTTTTTGGCTTTTTGTTTTGTAAAGACCATTACTGTCATGAATGCTGCAGTTATTGGTTAAATAAATAAATAAATATGTCACTTTTTATCTTTCATGTTTGATATCTTAAGGTTTTCAGGGCAGGATTTAGGGTAATGCCAACAGGGCCACAGCCCCCCTTTTAATTCTTGTATTTTCTTTAAACTTGGCAAAAATTGTATTTGCATACAGTCTTGAAGATTTTCTTTTAGGACAAAGTAAAACAAGGCAAAGACCTGAATAAATTAAATACATCTTTAGTTTATGCACTAGAGGAAGGACAAGGTTCGTATGCTATATAATTAATTCAAGTGCACTTGAAAAACTCTTGAGTCTAACCATTTTAGAAAAAACTCTGTGAAAAACCTTCAAATGTCTGAGCCAGCCCCTACCGCTCAGAACGAGTTACATCATTTGATTAAAAAACAATGAATTGGTCATTGAAACAATAGCACTAAACCTAACCTACCAAAAGCGGTACTGTACTTAGGGAGCAATGAAAAACCAGCTTTCGAGTGGTACTGGATTACTCAAATGTCTACTTTGATTGTTACTTGCATGGTTCTGAAATAGATCTTGTCATCCGAAATGTTTTCATGTTTCCATATTGTTTGGCGTACGACTACAATAATGCAGAATACGATATCAACCAGGCGTTACTTCTCTTTTATGAGGGGTACAGGAAACTACTCGAAAGTGGACCATGTGCAAACACTGTGTAAAACCATTGCTTATGTTCCTTGAAAAATCATTTTCAGCACAAACCATGCCGAAAACAAAAGCTAGGAAAAAATTATTTAGGGTTTTCTTTTGTTCAAAACAATTAACATTTAGATCTGCAGCCCAAAATGGTTTAGATTGTATCAGTCAATATCCCATGAAGGTAAAGGGTGAATGGGATATTGATTCATACTATCATGAAATTAGGTCGCAAGCATAATTCAGCTGCCATTGTTTTGGTTTTCAAAACTGGTACCTGACCTTGTGGTGGTGGGAAAAATGAAAATAAACATGATAGATGTACTGAGAAAGAATGTCTAAATGAGTGCAGTATTACACATGTGTGAGATCCAATGTTTGAAAGAAAAAAGTTTATGGGAATGGCAATTTTACAGAAAAGGAACAATGGAAATTCATAGGTCTAAATAGCAGCCAGCTGTATGCAGTCTAGTACATGTATCCTGGGCTCCAGAGGTTGTATTTAGCTTCAGGTAGTTTCAGACGAGCACCTCTTCAGGACTTCCCATCAAAACAGCAAACACCTAAACAACAATAAATAGCCTCTCAACCCAAGGGTTAGCAGTGTAACAGTTTTTACAGTGCTTTTCTAATAGCATGCATAGTATTATCATTATAACGTCAGGAGGTCAGGAGGTCAATAAATCCATTTCCATAACATTCCATAGACACATGCCCTTGAAAACTTTGTGTTTTCTGCCAATGTCATTGGAAAATTTCGATTGGTGTTCACCACAACTCTATTGTTGTGACGGCAAATAATAAGTGTGACTGTGAAGCAATGTAAAGATCAACTAGTGCTTAATTGTTTAAAATAAGTAGTCTGTGAATGTGAATGGTTGAAACCCCGGGTTGAAACATTTAAATAAAATCAGAGAAAACACCAAAATATACTAAATTTCAATACACTCAAATTACAATTTTTTTGCATTAATAGACGCACAATAATATAAAGATTTAAGACTAAAAGGATTTAAAGATAATGTGTAACCAGAAGGTCTTTGATTGCAAGAAGTAGGCAGTTGGATATTCCCAACATCCACCAAAATGTACAATGATTGTAGACTCTTCTTGCAAATATAGCCAATTTTACAGACGTCGATCCTGATCCATGTCTTGAATGTACAAGTGGTTATCTTCACAAAATAGTTCAATTTATTGTTTAACAGTCTTCTGTTCTCAATGATGCCCTTCATCTGGTTTTTCAAATACTTTTTCCAACACACAAGCAACAACGAAAGCTCCAATACCCCATCCAAGACCTGGAAACATTCTCCGAATATTACCGTGCTTGTTTATAGAAGGATGGTATCTCCATGCTTCAAAGCGTGCCCAGGGATCTCTAGCAACTGTGACTTTCTTTCCTGCAGGGTCCATGATTGAAAAAGGGGCTAAAAAGACGATATTTTTTGCTCTTTTTCTCTTCTCCTCTCTTTTACTGCAACCTTTGGTRCTGCTGCCTTACGCGCAAGGAATTGTGGGCTCAGCACAGGAAGCCCAACACCCTAAACTCCCAACGTCCTCGATTTCCAAAGGCAAAGAACTAACCTAAACATTATACCTGATTCATAATGAATATTCATTCCATTAAATGCTTTTACTGCAATTTTATCATGAGTAATCGTGAATTATGTCATCAGGTCAGGGTTGAAAGGTAACGGGGAAATTCCCTGTTTTTCCTATCCAATGTCGATTCTGATTGGACAGCTGGTAATTATAAAGCTACATGGGCTGCGACGTGTTGATCACTCCACTCCTTCCCTAATAAACTTAGTGGAAGGATTATTGCAGACAGTAAGCTGTGGACGGCTGTGGACTGCTTCAATTCAGGTAAAGATATATCGATACTGAGACTTAGAATGACAGTTCCTTTGTTCAAGTCGGGTGGGTTAAAAAATTATGTGAAGGTAGTAGAGTCAGGGACATCTCACAATACAAATCAGGGCACATGTTCGTCTTTCCAATAATGGAATCTAGTTTGTCGGTGGTATTTCTTATAAGTAAAGTTTGAAGTAAGTTTAATTTGTAGTATTTGTATTTTAGCTTGCACATATTTTGTAGTATATCAATAAGAGGATAGATTTTAGTTTTGCCATTTTTAACTTACTAATAAAACCATACGGCTTATTAGGTAATACTAGTAGAGGGATCGGGAGTTCCCCTCTACATTAGTAGAGGGAGATGCCCGAGCTACTATGTTGAAACGAAAGTGAAAGTGAAGCCAGTAAGGATTATTGGTCAAGCTTATAATTGACAAACTTGATCTAACTTTATTTAATTCAGTTAATAGACTTACTTTCACTTTCTAAAGTTTAGATATTTTATTTTTAGACTATAAGCTTAAATAGAGGATATTACATGGGCGCGCGGAGATACGAAATTTATCTTCGAGTGTTGAAAAGATCTCTCACGAGTGAGCGCAGCGAACAAGTGAGAGATTTTCAACACGAGAAGATAAATTTCGTATCTCCAAGCGCCCATGTAATATTACATAATTATCAAGAAGTATGTTTTGGCTTTTTCAGGCAATTCTTTCCGTGTATTTTGAATAGCCATCGCAATGGTGTTATTTTCACATGTGAAAATAACATGTTATTTTCACGTTTGAAGATATCAATTTTTCGAAATAGAGAAAAATAGATATTTCATTGGTAATTATATAATAAATATATATAATATTGCTTTATAATACCACAAAAAAGAAAAAAAACTTTTTGAGCTCCAGAAACTCCAGCATGCACCAACAAAGGCTATAATGCTTAGCTTATGGCATGGGCTAAGATTTATTAAGTGTATTATAGCTAGGACAGCTTTGCATTGAATAAACTCATGAACATTAGCCTAATTCTAAGGCTCAAATAAATTGTTATAAATTTTGATTTGATGCAGACAGTCAAAGATAAAGCTACAGCACTTATAGATCAAGATACATGCGGTTTAAGAGTTTATTGGTACAGTTGGTCATTGTCCTATTCATCTTGACTTTATTCTTCTCATTCCAAGTTCAAGGGAAGAAAAGGAAACGAAAAAAGAAAGAAGGCAAGACCATGTCCAGTACTGACCTCAACAACCAGCTGAGGTATTACTCTGCACAACATGTTAAGATTCAAGAATCTGACTATGAATGGGCAAAGTCTTTAGTGGAGAAGTATGTAAAAGATGAGCTATGGAATTACATCCGTGAAAACTCTGAATTTCCTCTGCAGAAACTTGAATATACTGGAAGCCACTATGAACGATTGAAGACTGAGGCTGCTGATGAAGTAGATGTTATGCTAGTCCTGGATGCTAAAAAACACATAACTAAAGAAGAGGTAGAAGGGGTTCCAGGCTGGGTGAAGCTTAAAGTTCATAAAACTGACTCCCCATTTAATAATAAGAAGTATGTCAATCCCCACCAATACATTCTGCCAGAAAAGATGCTTTCAAAATGGCTGTTCTCAATTGTTACAAGAGCAAGAAATGCTTTTCAGGAAAAAGCTACAGATTTAGCTGTTTCTTTTGAAGTACGAAAGCATGGCCCTGCAGTACAGCTTGATATCACTGAAGTTGCAAGTGGAAAAACATTGTCTGTGGATCTTGTTTTGGCATTTGGATTTGATGATCATGAATTTTATGTTGCTAAACCTTATAAGATCAAGAACCCAAACAAGCGCCTTCCTTGCAATAAGGATATTCTGTTAAGAAAGTCATTTTCCACCCGTGAAAAGGCCAAATTGAAAAGCATGGATAATATGGACAGTGGTTGCCGACATGAACTCCTAAGGATTGTGAAGACGATTGTGAGAAATGACTCTGCTCTTAAGGGAAAGCTGACAACATACCATTTAAAGACAGCTTTTCTCTGGTGAGTTTTTTAATTAATCTAGAGAGGAAGGCAGGGGCAGTTCCAGCCAAAAATATAAGGGGGCCAGTTGACCAAATTTTGTTTGACTTGTTAGTAATGACTCATTTTACTATAAATCCCATTACTTTGATTAAATAAAACTATATATGGCTGAAGAGGGGCTACAGTCCCCCTTTGCCCCTCCCTGGATCTGCCCCTAAAAGGGAAGAGATAGGGGGCTTAAGTCTCCTGAAAAGCTGTTTTTAGTTTTGCCATGCATTAATTGCTACCAGACACTTAGGGGAATTATTTGACATTTAAATTATCTAGTAATAGCACCATCGATCCCGTAAAGTTCTCCAATGATCATAAACATAAAGCACATTGAGACAATGTGAAATGCACTATATATTAATCATTATCATCATAGGCATAGGCATAGGCATAGGCATCGGCATCGGCATCGGCATCGGCATCGGCATAGGCATCATCATCATCATCATCATTATTTTCACTTTTCGACAACATATACTGTCACTGTGTTTTTCTAATCAACACATGCAGCGTGCTTGATTCAATTGATTGTAACAAGATTTCTTTATTGAAAAACTTTCTGCAGGTTTAACCAAGATGAGTCAAAAAGTTGGCATCGTAATGAGTTAGGAAACAGATTCCTTGATTACATTCAATATCTTGTTGATGCCCTTAAACAAAAGAATCTTCCAAACTTTTGGGTGCATGAAGTTAATTTGTTGGAAGATATTGAGGATGTAGTTATAGGAAACATGGTTGGACGATTGCAGCGACTATTGAGCAGTGACAATGAAAGAAGCAAAATTCTCAAAGGTATTTTAATTCATGATAAAAGTCTTGTTGGCAATCTTAATCATGATGAATTAACATATTCGACGATTATGGGCCAGACTGGAAAAAAGTTCTACTTTGTTCGTAACCAAATAAAGAGTTACTATTATTATTATTATTATTATTATTATTATTGGATGATATAATAAATCAATGATATCTGCCAAAGCCAATAGAAGGCTGAGATGGATGATACAGCCAAGGTCTTCAGATAATTATTTAATGATACTACGCATATACAAAAACCAATTGTATAATCTTGAATAGTCTTTTGTTATTCTATTGAATGATTTTGTAGCATGTTGGATTTTTTAGTAGCTTGACCTATGTACACTGTAGTCATGAATCCTGTGGGACAGTCATGATAATAATGTCACACTCATCTCTTATTCACCTAAGCACATTTATTGGTTAATATGTACCTATGCAGGGCCTAAGATAATTGCAGGTCATCAGTCGCCATGCAGTCATGATCACCAACTAAATTAGTTTTAGCTCTGTTATACTTGTTTCTGACTTGATGCTACTGCCAGGTCAAAACGACTTGCAATGCAAAGATTTGACTGGAAAAGTTCCAATATTCTGGCCTGACATGGTCCGATAACCAGCCATTATTTTAAGCATATTGATCCCTGCAATATGCTGCAATATTTTCTCTGAAGAAATTGTTACTGTAAGACTTTAGACAAAGACTGCTGTCTTGATTTCAATGTAACTTTCATTTTTCATTTTGCAGTCCCCACCTCTGACTTGCCAACGTTGACAAGTCAGCTTTCAATCAAAGAAGAAGGAATCTTAGACCTTCTGCGTACATTCATAGATGACATGGGGAATGCTCTCAGTAAGAGTATCAGAGATTCAAGAGAGCTTTTTAACAAGTATGTCAAGGATGTCATACTCAAGAGGTGCAAGGAAAATTACCCAGATTTGATCAGTAATTTTGAGTATTCTGGTAACTTGTATGAAAAACTCATGACTGAAGACCAAGATGAGGATGTTGTCATTTTGATGGTTTTGAAAAAGAAAAGCAATGATGTTATCCATATGATGCATGAAGGGTACTATAGTAAATTCAAGGTGCAGGGCAAAAGATATGAGTCATTTTCAGATAGCGAAGGTTTTGTCTCTCCAGAGAAGATGAGAAAATGGTTTTTTACAATCGTGAGAGAAGAGGCTGAAAGTTGTGCAAAGGAATTTGGACTGGACATCAAGATTTCTCAGCCTGCAAAAAACAGCCCATTGAAGCTGGACATCAAGATTAGTCAGGAAAACTGCCAAGAGAAAAAGCTGTGTCTGAATGCAGAAGCTGCATCAAATGTTTGGTTCAAGACGCCATCAATCAGAGTATGTCTGCTGCCTGCCTTCGAATTAGTTAAAAGAAAGTTCTTTGTGCCCATAGAACCATATCATTTTGAAGACTCTGTCACAACTAAAGCCAGCAACAACTGGAAGCAATCATTTTCTCTTGAGATGAAGAATATATTACAACAAATGGACACAGATGGAGGCTGTCGCCATGACCTGTACAAAGTGGTAAACACCATCCTCAAGCGAGAACCAACATTTTCTTATCTCCTGCCACACATGAAGATGCTTTTCGTAAAATTCATCAAGGACTCCACCAAGAACTGGGACAAGTCTAAACTAGGTGACAAATTTGAGGAGTTTTTTTCTTTCTTGGCTGGCTTGCTGGAAAATAAAAAGTTGAAGCATTTCTGGCTTGACGATGTTGACTTGCTGTCTAATGTTCCAACCATGACTTTGGAAAACATGGAAAAGAGAGTGAAGAGAATTCTGAGCAGCGATCAGGAAAAACAAAAAATATTAAAATATTAATTGTTAATAATATTTACTGAACTTCTAAACTGAAATTAGTCACTGAGTGGATTTACACATTGCATGTTCATGTAGCCAATGTATAACAATGTATAAAGGGCTGTAAGCAACCAGGACAGTTGGTCTGTTATACAGTAACTGGACCACTTTTTCCCTATCAGAACCATTTTTCCCCTCATACAAGCATTTTCCATTTTCTTCTGAGGGCCACTTTTTTGAAAACCAGACCACTGCCAAAATCAGGTGGCTATGGCCCTGGCAGATAAATATTTTCATACAATTAGAGATACATTCTTAGTTTTAGGTGTTATAGATTATGTGACAAAATTACTATTTGAAATTAAGGATAATATTGCTTCATAGAATTAGCTATACTAATAAAGGAATTTTTTCGGACAAGTCATTTTCGTTCATATTTTCCTTTTCTCTATTTTCTTTTCTTTTCCCTTTTACACTTACTTGTTGTTTATGTTTTCTTCACAGTTCATACTTCTGTTTTTATCTTTTTTATTTTTTCTAGCAAATGATTGGGTTACCTGTGGAATTCAAACAACTTTTTCAAGTTTTTTTTTTTTTTTTGCGTAACAAAGAAAAACCCGATTTAAACAATTCGTAATTATGATTTGTTAAATTCTTGTATTTTTCACTTCTATTATTTATCGAAATATCTTGGTCTTTTTAAAAAAATACGACGTCTTATCATATCTATGGTTTTATTCATATTGGTCACCCTGTGGTCCCGAGGGAATGTGATACGGCTTCGTCCCCATGCCAACAAGATACAAAGCTCAACTTGAATCGGATGGCATATATGCATTCCAAACCGTACACGAAGATCAGTACATAAAAGATCTCTTTACTGAACGGTGTTATAAAACAACAGCTATCTAAACGCTAAAAATCTATAAAGAAGCAAACATTCAACTACAGAGATGCCTAATCCTAGAATTTCCACTCAAGGTTAGTAAGTTTTTGACCATGTAAACATGTTATTTTAGGTTTTTGCGAAGAATTTACGACGGATAAAAATTGAAATACACCCTGCTGATGAATTAATTTAGTCCTTTATATGTTGTTTATAGTTGTTTTTGCTCGTAAATTAACTTGTGTTGACAGTGGAATCGTTTTCTTTTTAGTTTCGATCGTTATCTAGTGAGTTTACGAATTTACGTGTGTTGGTTTGTGTTAATAAGAAATTGAAGTTATTTATATTCAGTACGCTCATAGTTAAACCATGGTACGCTAACTTACTTAAGGCATTTATCATATTAAGTTGTGACTCAAACGATATTTTGGTAATGATCGTGCTACTGTTTTATGTAAAACGTTCGCACATGATAAGGTTTAAAGTGCTTTACGGTGCCCAGCCTTGCAAGCTGAGGTCCTTTTCTGCTCCGCTRGGAAGGCTAGGAAGCGAGAGGAAACAATTTTTATTTTCTTTTCCTCTCGCTTCCTAAACTTCCTAGCGGGGTAGAAAAGGATCTCTGCTTGCAGGGTACATGCACATTATGCTGATAATCAAAAGGGCTGTTAAAAATAAGCTCTATAAACTTGTATATTTTTTCTTGAAATAGACTGGTATTATGATGCCCCAAATAAGAAGTCAACTGCCAAGGCAAAAGAACCACCGCCTGCATCACAAATCCCAGGCCTTAGCAATTTTATTGAAGAACCAAATGAAATGGAAGAAAGACAATTCAGGAGAAAATGGCTAAGAGATACTGATTCTAATTACATAAAACTAGCTAAAGGTGGTGGCAGAAAACATCTTTTGGATTATAGGGAACCCCCAAGTGAAAAACCTGAAGAAGTTGGCTACCCACGTGTGGATTGGTTTGACCACTACAACCCTGAACCTGAAAATGTTGAAGAATTTTCCTCTGCCCCACCCCCTGTGGAAATGCCAAGGAGCAAACGAATGATGCCACGCACTCAACCGTAAGTAATATTCATGCAGCTACATATTTCATAATCAGACTTGGTTTTAAGATTATTTAAAATTGTTGACACTTGAGGGGATAAAAAAGTGTTTTTCTTGATCATGTTAGTGTTAACAATTTAAATGATTAATACAGTATACAGTACTGTACTACTATACCCGTGTAGCTAGAGAATGAAAGCCCCACGAGCCAGAGGAGAGAACCAACAAGCAACTCTACTCGCATATCTCATGGTGGCACATTACTAGAGCAGCTTGCACCTCCCGTGCTTCATGCTTAAAGTATACAGTATACTAGCATTCTAATCTATTTGTATTACATAATTATTTGATGTTTGTACATTAGGCACAGAGTTCTTCCAGAGTGGTACGTTCATGATCGCCGTGACGAAGAAGAAAAAGAACCTTTAAATGATCTTCATGTTGACCAATCAGGCAAAAAGAAAAACATCATATCTTTTGACAACATGTCAGCATGGGAAAGGTTAGTTTCATATAGAAATAAACAATTCAAATTGCCCAATAATATTGGTTTCAAAGTGGCAAACGTTTTAGTAACAAAAAATAATTGCGTATAAGTTGCTGGGTAGCCTCCTTTGCAGCCGTTCTTAAGGTTGTCATGCAACGTTTCCTTCCCCACAAATGTCTGCTTACTTGAGCTGAACATTCCTTTCCCAAAATCGACCAATCAGCATGAACCTACTAAGAACGAGAAGGTTCATGCTGATTGGTTGATATTTCGCGGAAAGCCGCAGAACAAAAATGGCGTCCTTTGAAGAAGTGTTTCAGCGTGTTTGTAGTGTTTTAAGTTTTCATAAATCAATTTCACTGGTGTAACATCCATGAATCATCCATATCCATAACTTCAAACACCTCTACACTTCTTCGATTTATCTTCTTTCGTCACCCAGTGTACAAGTTGTCGCCTTCCAAAATATTCCAAGGCAAATTTTGACAGCATGTGGCATTCCTTTCAAGTTGGCGTGAAATTTCTAACGCAGGATTTGATTGGCTCTTGAAGAGACAATAGGCCAATTTTGATTGGCCCATGATGTCACATCGACAACAATGGGAAAGGAATGTTCAGCTCAAGTAAGCAGACATTTGTGGGGAGGGAAACGTTGCATGAAGACCCTAAGAATGGCCAAGAAGGAGGCTAGTTGCTGGTCAGATAAAACATTTCAGCATCATTGGGTTTATTAAAGGGGTACCTTTGCCAAAATTTGGAATCTAATAGGGTAAGGCACACAGTGTCCGAATGGTACCCTCCTGCGGATCTGTATGGATTTTTAATTCCTGAAGTATTGCATTTCTTACAGAGAAGCAAAAGATGAGGCAAATGCAAGGAATGGCAGGCATGTGAAGCTTCCACCATTACACAGCAAAGGGAAGCAGGAGAAGAGTAAAGCATCTAAAGTCGTTCAACAATTTCCAAAACGATATGCAACTAGAGTACCTAAAATGTAAGTTTCTTGAGAATACCATATTTAGTGAGGATTTTGAAAGAGATGGGACTTTAACTATGTATTAAGCTTTGGCTGTTCAACTGGATTTGGAAGTTGATTTTTGAGGATCAAGGAGAGCCTGGAGAAAAAACCTTGAAGAATAGGAAAGAACCAGCAAACAACTCTACTCAAACACAATGCTGTGACCGGCGTGACTCAAACTTGGGTTGCATTGGTGGGAGACAGAGCATTAGTTGTGCACACTACCAGTGCTCCATGTAAACTACAGACCATATTTCTTGCAAGTGCATTTATACTCACAAAATTTGACCATTTTATTTGTTACCAGGGATAGTGAGCCAGTTGATTTTCGGCATTTAATGTCAATGGGATACCAGAGAGACTGGTTTGACGATCAAAATCAAAAGCATGTAGAAGAAAAAAGGAAACTACAGGTATATTATATAATACCTTTAGAAAATTAGGTCATTTATAAAAAATATTATTCTATATTCTCAAACACATAAGAATACAAATAAATTATTAAAATAATTATTATTGTCTTTTAGTAAATAATTTTAATTTGTTCTATTTAAAGGTAGAGAGACAGAAAAACGACCAAAAAGCCTCAAAACAAATGAGGGAAGCCATTGAAATGAGGTATGTACAGTAATAGAGACAAATTTTTGTAAATATCCTACAGAGCCCTGTATTAGGTTTTTTCCAAGGAATTTTGTGAAGCGTCTGGGAGGCTGTAATCTATTCAGCTTCCTGGTAACAGCTTCCTAGGTTAGGCATGATTCGTAGCTGAAGGAACTACAGAGGATATTAAATAGTTCTTCACCTTCATTAGCTTGACTAATATTTTTTATACTGGGTACTTAATTTTAAGTATTTTTAATCACAGAAAACCAAAATACAATGTCACAGAAGATGAAGACAGACATATGTTCAAGCTGTCAAGGTAAGGAAGAATTAGAATAGGACTTTATTTTATTATTAAGTCATCAGTTTGCATCACATTTTGGAATACATGTAAGTTATCATTGTCAAACCCAAATATGAATCATCCTACAAATAAAGGTATATTTTATTAGCTCTCTGCAGAATTTTTTTGGACCTTGAAGTACTAATGCAGGCACTTATGATTGATATTTTAACTTGTTTTTTTTTTCAGATTTCAAAAAGTTCAGCCTAGAGTAGAGAGTTTCCGCACCTGAGCCATTTGTTTGTAAATTATATATGTACTAAGTTATTTTATCAGTGTATCATTCTCAAGGATTCCTTTAAATTAAAACAATTTGTGGTATAGAAGCTGCACTAACCCTAAAAACTGAAACAAAAAAGAGGTAAATTCGATAGAGTGCTCACACTAAATCAGCAAAACAAATACTAATTTTTAGCACTAAAAAGTGATAATTAAACAATAGAAAACAAAGGATTCTGTATGAAATAGTACTAATTAGTACTATTTAATGTTCACGGTTTTAGTGCGTGCACTCTATATTGAGACTATATTTTAAATTGGTTTACTCATAATTTTTATAGAAACTGCCAGTTTTAAACTTTACTACATTTTGACTGTTTTTAATGACTGACATATGTCATAATGTTCTCTATACATTATAAGTTTCAATCTTTTTAAAGTTTTAAAGTAAAAAGCTTCATGCACAAAAGAGGATTAATTCTGGACAAAACATCTATACCTAGTTGCAATGACAGGTGGACTTCCTATTTTAAAACAAAACTTGTTTTGCCGCTCAGAGTTTCAATATAATCATGAACTTTCATGTAAATAATTATTGTGGATTGGTAAACATAACATTCCAAAAGCATTCATATATTAAGTTGCTTTAAAAATTGATTTGAATATTACAGTATTGCTGTGTTTCTGAACATTTGGATGTCAAAACCAATCAGAGTCTCATAAACTTTTGTATATAATTTATAGTGTTATAAGAGTATTTCCATTATTATGGACGATTTAATAGTATAATTATGAAAGAAACGATGAAAAATTGTATTATATATGAAAAAAGATTTTATATATGAAATATGATTTTAAATTTTTGTAAACTTTGATTACCAGAAATGCATTAAAAATATTAATCAAACTTTATGTTGTTTTTATTGTATACACTCAATAGTACTTTTGTTAATGTATATGCAGTAGTCCCCTTCACAGTTCCCTGCGCCATCTTGAAAGGTAGCTTGAAATGATAGAGACGTGTGACATTGTTCAAGGTGTTAAAAAGGGTCTCTATCATTGCAAGCTCACCGTTTGTCTCGCTTCGATGCAAAGGCACGGCTACCTTTTAAGATGGCGCTGGGAACTGTGAAGGGGACTATCCTTTCTCCCCAATAACGAGTGGCTGCATAGGAGACTGAAATAAATATGTATACCATAGGGCCCATTTGTATGGGGGGTGGATAGCATTATCCAATGGATAAATCCTTATCCAGTGGATAAGTTGATGCTGTTATCCAATCAGTGTTTATCCAATGATTAAGATTTATCCTTGGGATAGTACTCTCCACCCTAATCATACCCCAGGTCTATATGTATTTAAAAGTCCCAACCAGATTTCAGCCAATAAATAAAATCAGCTAGTAGATATGTTTACCACAAAATCTTCCCTTGCCCCCTCCCCCAAAAAGAAAAGAAATATTTCTTTTAGCGGTTGAATCAAACTTTTGTTACTGCCTTGCCATTTGTATTTAGAAAGAAAATAATCAATAACATCAATATATAATTATTATAATTAATATATAGATCCCACTGGTCGTAAATACACAAACTATATTTACATCTTGTTCACTATTTACACAATCATATCATACACATATATTTATATATCCAAATATGTTCAATTATATTATTAAGTTTGCTTTACTTATTAAGTTCATCTCAGCACTGATAACAACCTGGACACTCTAACATTCCCTACAATGTTCGGGTGCCGATAACCAAAATCTTGTAGCCTGTGTGCTGGAAGCATAGGTCTTGCAAACACATCATCATTTGCAAGTTTAGCAGTGTCTATATCACATGCATATCTTCTCTTTATGGCAATAGGTGCTATCAAGCCATTTTCATTCTCTTTGTCCATACCGAAGTGTTGGTAATACTGGGGATGATTTGATCTTTTTACTGGAACCATGTGATCTCTGTAGCCATTACTGTAGCATTCTTCTTCCAGTCTGGAAACGATAGATTGAAAGTTTAGCTTTATGGCCATCAAACTAATGACTTTTACTTTCACTACTGTAGATGCATGGTTTTGCAGAATGCTGACATTTTATGGGGGAAATTATATATTTAAGGGCTATTAAATTAGTGAATTATCTTGTCTAGCACTAGATGACACTACCTTGAAATCCTTTCTTCTCGATCTGCTAATACTTTCTCTCTGTTAGAAAGTTCTTTTTCCTTTCCTATATAAAAAAAAGCAATTGAATAAATGGACAAATGTCAGATACTTCAATCTAGACAGCATGTACAGAATTAAAATGATGACTGAACTTACTTTCTATATCTCTTTCCTTCTCATTAAGAGTTTTCTCCCATCTTTTGAGTGATTCCTCCTTTTCAGCTACATTTCTTCAATTCAAAAGAAAATTCAATAATTTGCAAGCCCCTGATATTTTTTTACTGTTGCTTCAGGTTGAATTTCCACAAAATTTGGAATTGTCCATTTTGCTAAATCTGTGTACATGTAGCTTTTTGATCACTTTTAGATTGTATAAAAGAAAAATGATAATAATACAGACTATATTTTCCATTTGGATACTCACATATTAGAGGTAGTGTCTTTCTGCATTCTTGATAAATGTGGATTTCGAAGCAAACTATCAATACTTGGTCTCATCTCATCCTAGAATTAAGAAAGATAATTGTATGAGAATCATTGTCAAAACCCCTCTTTTTCTCCAGACTCTTCCTCAGTCACGAATAACATTTTATTCACATGTGCTAGAGGTCTCCTCTTCATACTCAACAAAACTCAAGCAATGGCCCATTCACACTTAGGAGGTCACATGTGCATCTGATGACCCCTTAAATGAAAGCTGTGATGTCAAAAACTAAAGCATCTTTGTCAAGAAACTGTGATTTTAAAAGGATAGGACCCTCTACAGTATAACATTCAAATGATACCATCAGGGTTCACAATTTGCACAAGCAGAATGCAAAACGCTTGTTATCATCCTCATCATGTGTAACAGAATTTTTTCAAAAAAGAGAGAGCTGGAAACAATATATTATATTCACAAGAAACCTTCAAACCCTCAAGATAAATTTTTATCTTCAATTGTGTATTATAACTTTGAAAAAGAATGTTCAAATCCTGTCCATTGAAGTTCGACTTACACAAACTTGGAGCATGGAGCTGATAACTTGATTGAGGCTAGAGGAGTAATGACTGGGGATTGGATGGAATCTTCCAATCTTGATTTTTGCCTCTAGACTTCTTTGGTTCATAGCTGTAAAGGGTGGAGATAGGGCACACAGCTCATAGAGGAGACAGCCAAGGGACCAGATGTCAGACTTCTCATTATAGCCCATCTTGTTGACTTGCTCCTATGATCATTAACCAAAGTTTAATATCCCTGGCTGTGCAAATCAAATAATGAATAAATAGAACTACGATGAGAAAAAAAATAGTTCACTTACAGGTGACATATAGTAAGGAGTACCAACAAATGTTTTGGCAAAACTAGTGTCATGCATGAGCACTCTTGCCAAACCAAAATCACCAAGCTTGACATTTTTTTCAGCATCAAGAAAAACATTTGCTGGCTTTAAGTCCCTGTGTAAAACATGAGCTCCATTTTTCCTTCTATGGCATTCCTGTACTGCAAGGATGAGCTGGTACATAATTTTCCATACATACTCTTCTAGAACATATCGTCTGGAAAATGTAAGCAAACAAGGAAATAAATTAATCTTACCGTATTGAAATTCTAGAAAAGTATATAATTGCTTGATCATTTGTACTGGTACTAATGTTAAAGATAGCCGAATGACAATATGGACATGGCAGCCTAAAGAATGCTCCCAGTTTGATGATGTAACAATAAAACAAAGAATACATGGCATGCATTATAAAATTTACTTCAATCAGAATCAGAAAATTTGCAAAACTGAGGTGTCACTTTTCCTCTTGAAAATATGGATTTCCAGGCTACCAAAACTAGGAAAAAACCTTAACTATAAGCTCTTGATAACTTTTATAATTTTATTAAAAAAAAAAAAAAAAAAAAAACTATTACGATGGCAGGCATTTATTATTTTTTTGCTGGTCAATTTCTGCAGGCTTCATGACATCTCAATTTAGCAGTGACGTCATCTTTACAACACAATTTCTGATCAGCTGGACCTGTGAGTAATTCATCTTACTTTTCTCTTTTGTGTTTGGAGATAAGAGCACCTAAATCTCCACCTTCACAGTATTCCATGACAATGTAGATTGTGGTATTTGTTCTATCTATGATACGATCATAGTATCTCACTATGTGTGGATGTTTCAGTTCCCGCAGCAAGTTCACCTCTGAAACCAGCATCTGCTTTTCTGTCTCTGACATTTTGCCATAATCTAACTCTTTCCAAACCAGTATCTAAGTATTCATCCACAGGAAAAATAATATAAATGAGTAAAAATTATATAGAAAAATGTTAATAAAAATTATGAAAATAAGAAAGATTTTCTATACAGTGTCATTTATATTTTCAGAAGATATAACAGGGCCACTCTGGTCCACTGTCCTTCTACAAAATTGACATTACCACGTGTCTAATAACAATGCCCTGATAACGAATGACAACCATGTTCAAATGGTGCTAATTACTAACCTTATTGTCTTTTATTCTACGAATCTTTCTACACGTTCCATAGGAGCCCGAACCAATCAATCCCAAAACATCGTAATCTTGTAGACGGGATGGCATCGTCGTCAGCTAAAATAACTAGGTTAATTTTGGCGAATAAAATACCAAGATTAGTAGGATTAAAGAAATCATAATAGAGCGATATGCAGAGTAGAGCTATTAGACGGTAGTAATCTAAAGTAGCAAGGGTGTTATGCAGAATTAGGAAAGGTTGAGGGATTGATATTAATCTGGATGTGAAGAGAAATTATTCAAGTAACAGCTATAAACAGTGTGGTAAAAGTTTTCAAGATTCCTGAAAAGCGTGGATAAGCTTGTTTCAAACATGACTCAGATTTTGATCCAGATCGTGGGCCATCACATAAAAGATAAATGCTAGATTGCAGCCAAAATCTATAGTTGTCAAACGATATAACCTTTGTTTTATAGTCGGGTTAAAACTAGTAGCAGTAAAGTTTGGAAAACTTAAAATAAGCTTTACCTTTCGTAGTTTTAAAATATTTTGAATGTCGAAAAACAACCTAAAGCTCTCTCATACTTGAAAAACAGTTATCATATTCCATGAAGTTTACATTAAAGAGCCCAAATCCATAAGATAGGAGATTTTAGAGGCAATCTTACCTGAGAAACTGTTGAAAATTCAGACCAATATTCAACAACATTTACTTCTTGAATCGAATATTTGTGTCGAGGAATTGAATTTACCACGCTGTTCTGTGATTGGTTGGATCCGATGCGCGGCTTTATAACTGTTTGGTTAACCGCAGTACAACGTATCGAAGGCGCAAAACTAATGCTACACAGGAAGCCCACTTCAAATAAGAGCAATAAAGGGAAAAAATCACGATAAATAGAGTAGTGTATCATTTTTCAAAACTCTGATTATTTTCAATTAAAAAAATTTATAATTCCATCGCATTGAGTCTTAACACAGGGACCCCACCTTAGATAAAAGTGGAATGAAGTATAATCAGAAAATCAATTTTTTGATTCTTTTTTCACCTTAAGGCAACGATAATTCCACAATACAAAAAATACACACTACAAGAGACTTGGAAATGGAAGCAAACTTATGAAAATACGGATTTACTAGTTGCGCCTATCGCTCGCCCTACGTAGTCATTTGCGCGTTATTAAACTATGCCGAGAAATACTATTTCAAAAGAAATGCTAGTAAGCTTGCTGGTGAATGGATCACACTAACTTACTAACATTAAAAAAATTCAAGAACTTTAATTTTTTTATACAGTGGAACCCCGCCTTACGGCCACCCGCTTAATACGGCCCGACCCCGTTATTGCGGTCAGCTCTTTTGGGTCCCGACGAAATGCCCGTACATTTACTGTAAAATGTACCCGCTTAATACGGCCACCCGTTAATACGGCCAACGGCCACTTTTTTGTTTCCCGATTGACAAACTTCCATACTTTTTAACTTCGTATTACGGCCAGGACAAATAGGTTACAGTTTAGGTCTGAATGTAAATACTGTAAAGTTATTGCTGCAAAATCTGTGATTCTTTTATTCATTCGGTTAACATTCTACAGTAATGCTTTTTGTAGAATCAGAATCAACACAACAACTTCAAACAGAGAAACACGTACAGCGCGATGCGCCGAAAGTATATGTCCGCATTTATTTTATAGCGGTACAGTATTATAACGACCCATGCCGATAGCCTGTCTGGGGTGATATCCAGACTCGAGTCAGTATGGCTTCAAAGGAAGCTTCATTCGTCTGTACAGAGCAAAGTCACTGCCTATTTTAAAAAGTAGTTGTTAGTGTACTCAGTTTTCTCTGCTTCGGTTATATCTACAGTCCTGTACTACTGTATAATTTAAAAATTTAAAGTACTATCTACTAAAGTTGAGTTATAACTGAGCTCCAATAGCATCAGAAGTTTTAGAAACATTATTTAAAAATACAATATGCATTATTGCACTTCATTTGTTTAGTAGTTTCGTACTGATTAATAAAACACGTATTTAACATATTTTTGATAGCCCGCTTAATACGGCCACCCCGCTAAAACGGCCACTTTTGAATGTCCCTTCGGTGGCCGGATTAACAGGGTTCCACTGTACTTGATTTATATTTAACAATTTTATCTTGAGTGGGCTCCCTGTGGTCTCAGGGCGAAGTCGCGCGTTTCTTCTCCAATGGTTGACCAACAAGAAACCGTCAAAGAAGTGGGCTTGAAAGAGCTTCAAAAGATGAATTAATAGAAGAAAAAAAGAAAGGTTTGTTGATTTAAGTGATAAGAATTGAGTGGAGCTTATGAATAACCATGAAAGTAGTATAAAAGAGGTATTTTATAACGGCGTAGTCTTAGCACGCGCACTGTAACTTGGTGTTACATCGACTTTTTTGTTGTTGACTTTTTTTAACTTTGTATCATTTATTGACCCCTTGCACTGAGTCCCGAGAGTAATCGTTCCGGGGACAAAACACTACAATAGGCCGTCTTTTCTTATGCAAATAAAATCCATTGTTTTGTCTACTAATCCTTTCGGGACTCAGTGCACGGGGTCTATATTATATCTTCCCTTTTCGTGACATCCTTGACATTCTAAATCTATATTATTTATTTTGTTATTCTATATTTTATTTTGTACCTAAATTTCAATACTAGTTTATTGGTCAGCTTTTATTTTATTTTCTATGCTTCTGGCATGCCCAAGTTTTTTACCCCTCCCCTCCCCTCATCAAAAACAAGTGTGTAAAATATAATAGCCCAGGACATGCCAACTAACATCCGTTTGAGTTTTATGTTAGATCAATTATTTCTTTTAAAATAATAGTAGAGAATATTTAAAATCCAGGGCCTGGTTGTATGAAGCCTGGATAGTGCTATCCGATGGATAAATCTTATCCATTGAATAATTTTATTGAATAACAGCATAGACTTATCCATTGGATAAGGATTTATCCGCTGGATAGCGCTATCCAGGCGTTCATACAACGGGGCCCTGAAGTATATCACCATGGAGAACCCATCCACCTGCCGGCATCCACCCACATCCCTCCCTAAGATGAAAAGTGGTTGGATTGAGTTAGGTTTTCATTTACACAGTTTCATTATACATTTTTTTTATTAAGTTAAATAAAGAAATTAAATTAAATTAAAGTTAGAGTTATGTTTTTGCAATTTTATTAATTTGTTTTTTTGAATACTTTTTGTGATATCTCTTCAGTCTACTACTAAAATATGGAAAGTTGGTGAGGAGTACTTTCATTCTCTGTAAAAGAAAGATACAAATATACAGGTAGTGATCCTTTGAGTTGTAAAAAGATAGAGAGTGGAATGTTTAAGAAGACATCCTCTTGGTGAGTGTCAATTATTATAATTATTATTAGAGTACAAACACTATATGTGTGCAACATAAATACCACTAAATACTGCAAAATTATTCTAATTCTATTGTTTTCTATTGTTTAATTAGCACCATTTACTACTAAATAGTGCGAAGTGTTGCACACTTTTAGTGTTTGTACCCTACTATTGTGATTATTATTTTATTATAATGATTGAATGTCTTTTTCATAAATTATGAAAAAGACATTAAAATCATTATGTGCATGTTTAAGGAATGTTTACACAGCACAAGAATTTTTGATAATTGTTTTTAAAAATACGAAGTAACGAGCAGTAATATGTGCTATGACTATCACTGAAACTTGAACTAATGTTGTCATGCAAATTAAAGGGTTGGGAATAAACACAAGGCTTTTCAATAACATTGTCAGAAAACACAAAGCTATAGGGGCACATGCCTATAGAATGTCATGGAAACGCCTTGATTGACGTCCACCAAAAGCTTCTTCGCCACAACGGAAACAATTGCTAGAGCAGAGCATGTTAATTAAGAATGGCTGTAAGCTTTATAGTAAATTACGTATTGGTCCCCAGGAATCTACAGCTAGTTCATGACCTTCTCCTATCATTTTAAAACTGCATGAATGAAAGCCCTAGGTTTAACCATATGTAGTTTAGATAAAGTCATTAATCTGAAAAAATTTCAAAAAGTATGCCAAGGCAGTATTGAAAAATATATCATCACTGGTGGTATTAACTAATGCTAATGAGTATTTTTTTTTTGTTTTTGAATACCACCACCAACATGGTTGTGATGGCATAACATGCAAATGAAGAATAATGGGGTGGGGTCACTTTGGCCCTTCCCAAAATCAAATGCTGATAAGTTTGCTAGCTAGATTAAGTTACTTTTTGAAGGTGCACAAGCATTTATTTCGTTGGTATTAATTCCCATGATCACAGCACATGCAT